CGTAACGCTATGGCAATGAATAGCAGCACACGTTATGAGCACTACTTTCGCAACACTTTTTGAAACGCTTTTGTGTTTTTGTGTTGCGTTTCGTAAACATAGCATTCATGCCGTCATTATGTGTTGATAACAGTTAACCACTGATTGCACACCAAATCAACGCCAACCACGCGGTCGACGATGCCATCGATAGCCGACAAACACGTGCTTTGAGACCACTATCGCGTGAAAAGCAAATCAAACCTCAATTAAAAACTCGTGTTTTGTTTGCAAAACCATTTTGTATACAAAAAACAACTGATTTATTAAATTGATTGGCGATTATAATGGACACCAAAATGCACGCCAAAAGTGTTTTATAAAGTTTTTTAATCGTGTTTTCAATTGTCTGTCGGCCATCGGGAGGGCCACGGATCCAATGATGTCAGCGACGATGAAACGCAAGCGACCGCAACCTCTTGTACTCAATTGCGTCAGCGGTTCCTTCGAGGACAAGAGCAACGACTTCTTGTGGTGAGTCTCACGGGTGCTGGCGATCGGCCACTGGATCCCCACGGATCTCATTGTCCCCATCGATGGTCACTGAGTACTAAACGCATCCCTTTTTGTCTCCACTTTTAGTCCCATTTGTTTCGAGATCATCGAAGAGGCGAATGTCACCAAATGTGGCCATACTTTCTGGTGATATATCAGTGAATTGTGTCTATTGTTTGCCACGTATTAATAGTCTTATCTCTCGTGCGATCTCATCGATGGTTAGCTACAAATGCATATCAATGTCGTTGGAAAGGAGTAACAGATGTCCGAAATGTAATTTCGTTGTCGAGCAGGTCTTCCCTAACTTCTTGCGTAAGCGATTGCCGTGTCTTAAGTATATTATCTCATCTCTAATGTCCTATCATTTCCATTAGTAAACGAATTAATCACAAAACACCACAAATTGGTTCTCCAGAAGAAGATCGACTCCGGCAAAAATGTGCGCCATTTGTGTCTCGCAATTGTCTTTGTGTTCATATTATCTCATAATCTGTGATCTCGTGTCTCCGCAGAACCCGCGAGAGATGACTGAACTCCAAGAGCTACTAATCCACAAATCGGATCAATTGGATCTCTCGGACATAAACCTATTGCTCGAGTCTTTAGCTCAACGAAAGCGACTCTTAGAAGCCGTACGTCTGAGACGCGCCACTCATTGATCGCATGAACTGATCCCTCGTTTCCCTCCAACAGAGCTGCAAAGCCATCGAAAACGACTTACTGAAGGACTTCTTAGCGCAGGTGCGGAACCACAAACAGGAACAGTTGGATCAGTTGACGCGCGAGATC